AATTAAGTTCTACCTCCTTGAAGGGAATAGTTAAATATATTATAAGAAAGATTTGTCAAATTCCTCCATTTATTTATTTAATTATTTATTGATATTGGCATGAACTCATGGATATTTACATTATTCTTTAGGTTATAATCCAATACTCTTATTTATTTTCTTGCTTAAATTGTTCCAGCTTTGGCTCTTGAGATCTGTTCTAGAATAACAATGTCGCAAAGATAATTGACAATTTTGGAATACATGATATAGTAAGTAGCCTTTTGGACATTTTAAGAGGATACCAAGTAATGTGTAATGACTATATCATCAAGTCATGTATGGAAAAAATATCAACCAAGGTCAATTAAAATTAGCACAACGTTTAGTTATGTTTTTTAAGAAAAACGATGTGACACTGCATTAATCACAAATTGAGAAAATGCAATCATTTCCCTGACACTACAAGAGTAAATAATAAACCAGACAAAATTGCTACAAAATTTAAAGCTGTAAGAATTTTAATTGTCTGCAATTCCTCATTTCCCTTTCAGTCCTTAACCATCAGAAATCTAACATTTGACACTATGGAAATGGCTGTTAAGATCACAAAAGGTAATCTGCAAAAGCAAACTATCTACTCTTAGTCCTTATCTAACGAATGTCTGTAGCACCTGGCACTCTGAACTACAAGCTTTCCTAGGAAACCAGTGACTCATCCTCCCCTAAATATCATTATTCCTAATGGCTTCAACAATCACATCTAAAACTTGTAGTTTCAGGTTTCTCTTTTGAGCAACAGATCCTTTAACTCACTAAATAGCATAAACCCACATCCTTTTTCTATGTCCAACCTTCTCCTTTTGCATACTTCCTCTTTTTCACTTCACATCACCAACCAACAGCCCAAGAAGGGTATCTTGAAGACATTCTAAAATCTTTTCCCCTTTCCTTAACTTTTGTACATTTACTTCTGAATATGTCTTCACTATCACTAAGTTAAAGCCCCTATTTGGGTGGGAAATTTTCCAGACTGGTCCACCTGATCTTTCTCTAATTAATCTATCATACCATGATCAATATAAATTCAGACAAATAATTTTTCTACTTTAAAACTATAAATTCCCTCCTCTAATTGGGACTCCGGGCCCGGGCTATTTCTGGCGCTGCCGCGGCTCCAAGAAGGCATCCGCATTTGCTACTGGCGGCGGCGGCGGAGCCAGGCCGGTCCTCAGCGCCCAGCACCGTCGCTCCCAGCAGCCCGGAGCGCGCACACAGGCCGGCGGCCGAGCTCGCGCATCAGCCATCGCTCCGCCTGCTCCATAGAGAAGGAAGATGAGCGAGTCTAGTTCCAAGTCCAGCCAGCTCCTGGCCTCCAAGCAGGAGAAGGACGGCACTGAGAAGCGAGGGCGGGGCCGGCCGAGGAAGCAACCTCCGAAGGAGCCCAGCGAAGTGCCAACACCTAAGAGACCTCGGGGCAGACCAAAAGGGAGCAAGAACAAGGGCGCTGCCAAGACCCGGAAAACCACCACGACTCCAGGGAGGAAGCCAAGGGGCAGACCCAAGATACTGGAGAAGGAGGAAGAAGAGGGCATCTCGCAGGAGTCCTCCGAGGAAGAGCAGTGACCGTGCCCCCTGCTTCCTCCCCGTGGAGCCGCTTCCTTCTGGGACTGGACAGCTCCGCTCCCCCTGCCCCTGCCCCTCCCCGCCGCCACCCACCAGCCCGCCTGCACCGCCACACTACACAGCACACAAGCCGGGCCCTGGTGGCCCGAGTGGGGAACAGTTTTCCTTGGTCTCGATTCCAAGCATACTCTCCCCCCACAATGCATTCCCCCCGGCATCCTGACAAAGCTGACATCCCACTTAGCTGCACCCATGCCTGCTGCGTCCCTGCTCCCTGGGTGGTGGGGGCATTGCTGACTGGGCTCCCGGTTTAGGGGGTCCCTTCCCCACTCTTACCTCTGGCTTCCCATCAGGGGGCCTGGGAGGACTCCCCTGGCCTTAAAGGGGCCTGAGCCCCGTCTCACTCTGACATGCCCACTCCACTGTCCTGGCAGCAGCACCTGTGGCCATGGATAGGGTTGTTTGGCCCCAAGATGACTCAACGAACCTGTGTCTGTCACCAGGTGTGGCTCACACCCACTTACCTGCCTTCCTAGGCGCTTAGCCCTGCGCTAGGTTGAACAGCGCCCCCCTGGGGCACAGGAGGGAAGGCAGGAGGGGTGTGAGCCTGACCCCATCTGCTTCCACTCTGCCTCCAGTTTCCTCCCCCTCATGGGGCCCTAGCAAGGAGCGAGCCTTGCCCACTCCCACCCCTGCTCCTCCCCACCCCCCAAGGTTCTGGTTCCATCTTTCCTCTGTTCACAAACTACCTCTGGACAGTTGTGTTGTTTTTTTGTTCCATGTTTCATTCTTAGACATCTTGTCATTGCTGCTGCTACCAGCGCCAAATGTTCACCCTCACTGCCTCCTGTTCTGCCCACACTCCCTCCAAGATGCTCTTGGGAAGGAGCCAGGGGGAAAGCAGACTGCCCCAGCCCCAGCCCCAGGGAAGGGGGGCTCTGCCCCTAGGACGCTGCAGCAGAGTGAGCAGGGGGCCGGTGTTGACAGCGGAGTGTAGGGCCACCTTCTCCCCCGTTATGCCGGGAGGGGGTAGCCATTTGTCCCAGCCTGGGCCCCTCCCTCTGGTTTCCTATTTGCAGTTACTTGAATAAAAATATATCCTTTTCTGGAAAAAAAATAAAAATAAAACTATAAATTCCCATTGACTATAGGGAAAATGCCAAACTATTTGGTATCTTATATAAACAAGAGGCTTTACCTGTCTTTCCAGCCTCATCTCCTGGGTCCCAGATGAGACTATTTTCAGTTATATAAACACAGTATCAGACCCAGAAAAGCTTATTTATAAGATACAGTCTTCATCCTCTTTGCATCCTGAATTAAAAATTTTTCCTAATTCCTTTTAAGTAAGTCTCGCTCTTCTGTGTTCCCCAAAACATGTTGTGAATATCTGAATTTTAGCAGCTATTAATAATTATTTGTGTACATGTCTGTTCTCTGCTAAACTATAAATTTCTTGAGAGTGGAAATTATATCTTATTCATTTGTATATTCTTTGACCTGGAAAACAACAGACAGAATATCTGCTGAAGGGACAGCTACTATCAAAATAGTTAAGATTTTTTTTTAAAAATCAAATACAAAAAGCTTTGTCTAAACAAAGTAAATTCTTACTTTCAAAGTGATTTGATTAAAAGTTACCTCATGACTTTAGAACTTCTATTTTCCTTAACTAAAAATATTTTTTTCTCAACTGGTTTTAAGTGGGTATGTAAGCTAATTCTCATGTGTACCTAAAATAAAATTCCTATTAGAAAACAAGCTCCATTTGTATCCACTTATCAACAGTAATTGTGAAGAGGAAAGATTCCAACATACAATCCAATTAACAGAAGAATATAAACTTGTGATATAATAATACCGGAGTGGGCTACTGTAGGTTTGTATGGAAAATGATATAATTAGTAATACAAAAATAAAGTTTGTTTCAGTTACTCCCAAGTATAAACCTACTTTCTATCCACCCTTGTATATCTGTTCTCTGTCTCCGATTCCTGGAATTCTCTGAGTATAGGAGTGTGCATTATGCCAAAGAGTTAACTTAAGATGGACCCAGGGAGAAACTCAGAATGGGGCACTTTCTCCTGAAACATACACAACAATTTTATTTACTACATCAGAGGTTTTATGAATGTCCCAAAGTTATTTACAAAACCTCAGAATTGAGATTTTTTATAAAAACAACAACTCCTGACTTAAGAGATATCTTCTATATCAATAATTTTCAACCTGTGTGCTCAAGAGGTACACTGATGTGCCACATGGATTTTTAAAACATGCAATACCTAATTATTTAGTCAGGGCACTGACCTCTTTTACCCAAAACAATAGCTGTTCAAAGTGAATGAATCAAAATTATGCCTATTTTTTTTGTCAGGTTGGCAAAAACACTTGTTATGTATGCCAAGAGAGGTTGAAAATTACTGTCCCATTTGAATGGGTAATTCTTCCTCTTTCTTAATTTATATATTTTCATTTCTTAAAAGATACTTTCTAGACATTACAAATGCATTACTTAATTTGTTTCATGTTATTTTATATCCAATTGAAGCAGCTTTTATAGATACTTAAATGCACTCTACAAGTGAAGTCTCTCTGAATATTCAGTTAAATTTTATAGGTTGATAATTTGAATGCTTAGATTTTTTATTATGAGACATACAGAATTAATAAAATACTCTCCTTAGAATAAGAAGTGTTTGTAACTATTGGATTAGTGTATACAAAAAAATCCTGAATAGTGACCAACAGATAGCTATGAGCCATTTCTCACTAAAGAAACTGTAATACGTAAGATAAGTAATTATTCTTGGTTTCCAAAAGATAACTGTTACTTCTTGTTTTCATCGTATCTCTTCTCAAAATTAAAAATTAATGCAAAGAGCAGCCTTATCTTACTTCTCACATCTATTGAAAATGAGGATTTCACCCTGGCGAGTATAGCTAAATTAGTTTAACATCATCCCATGTACTGAAGGTTTACCAGTTCATTTCCTAGTCAAGCCACATGCTCAAGTTGTGGGTTCGATTCCTAGTTGGGGTGCATACAGATGGCAACTGACTTATGTTTCTCTCTTTCTCTCTAAATCAATAAAAATAAATTTTAAAAAAGAAAAAGAAACTTTTAAATAAAAACCAGTAGATCTATTAGAAGTTCATGTACATGGTCCTCGCTGATATTCCTCAGTTGGTGGGGCATTGTACTGTGCACCAAAAGGTTGCCAGTTCAATTCCCAATCAGGGTGCATGCGTGGGTTGCAGGCTCAATTACTGGTGGAAGGCATGCAGGAGGCAGCCAATCTGCATTTCTCTCTCTCCCCTTTTCTCCCTCTAAAAATCAACAAGTAATCTATTTCACTAACACAAGTTAACAAGCAACAAAATGACCCTCTTACCTGTCAAATTCTGTACTGTCCTTTCGCTGGAAGGCAGTGGCTCCTTTCTGTGAGGCCGAGTTAGTGAAGTGTCCTGTGCAGAAAACAGTCCAAGGTTATCAGTTAATTTCTTCCGGCCACTGGAGTTAGGGTTTGAAACTCTGCAGCTGCCTATTGCACTTGTGAAAAGGTTTGTATGTTCATCACTGCTGGCTGGATCAGAGTTGGGAGTGAATCCTCCAAGGGATAAAGTTGGAGAACTTTCCGAACAGTCAATCTGTAAAGGTGTCTGCAATCCCAAGGCCAATGGACTAGATTCTGAAGGCTCTCGGTGGATCCACTGTTCTTCTCTATTTATTAAACCTTTTGAAGGAGAAAGATGAGGGCAGGATATATGACACCGGTGCTTTTCCTTATGTTTATATCGTTCTCCAACAGTATCTTTTCCAAATCGATAGCGTTTCAAAGTCTCCAGGACAGATCTGGAAGAGCCAGTGTCCATGGAAACTTGGGGTTGCTCAGAAGAACGGTGTTCTCTATGTTTATGGCGGTGCCTGTGTTTGTGCTCGACCATCCAACCATAGGCCATCTCAGGAGGGACACTAGGGTAGGTACTCATGGAAAGGAGGGGAGTCCTGCTGGTTGTAAGAAAGGCCTCCTGTCGAAGTAGCTTATGCTTTTTCTTGTGGTATTTGGTGGGATTGAGAAGTAAATGGCCAGTATGCATATAGGAAGGAGGTGGAAGTGGAGTAGTGAAAGAAGGAGATGGAGGAGGTGGATAAAGAGTGGGGGGATACCTTCCATAGTAGCCTAATCCTATGGGAGCAGCTGTAAGGGGTGAGGGAGAGTAAGGCATGCCATAAGAGGGATAGAATCCAGTACTAGAAAGAGGAAAACTAAGGCTGTGCATAAAAGGCATTTCAGCCATTGCCTCTCTCATCTTAGGAGGTCTCCCTCTCTTCTTTTTTAAGTCAGGTTTTCGAATGTAGTGCAAAGGATCTAAGGGGAAAGAAGGGTGTGTATAGAAACTATTAAAGTTGATTCGAAAAATAGTTGGCAGGAGGTCTCGGGGGATAAAATGATGACTTCGATGGGTGATTCGAATTTCACTAAGACGACTTATTAATTCCTCCAGCTCTGCAATAAAGTCTGGATCCTGTCTGTTTCGGAGTTGGGGATATTTCTTTTTCCGTTTTCGTTTCTGCCTTTTCAACTTGTCATAGCTGAGGTAATCATGATTCCTGCGCTTACATTTATGTTTATGTTTTTCTTTAAGACTGCTTAGAACTGTAGAGGTTTCAGGGGGGATCAGAGAAACATGCTCAAAGGAATGCCTTCTCTTTTTTTGCCCACAAAATTTCTCTGCCCTGTCTGATGTGCTGTTATTATCTGTTCCAATTCCACTATCACTGGGAATGGTCTCATCACTATGAGACTCACTAATGGGAGAAGGAGTAGCTTCTTTCAGAGATGTGAGTTCACTCAAATGTGAAGGAGAATTGGGCAACAAAGTAGGAGGAGATAATCGCCTCCTCCCTTTTGAGGCCTTCTTCATTGCAAGAGTCTGAATCATACTGCCCTGTCTGGAGTGTAAATGCAAATATGGCACTGGACTGGGTTCAACAAAGCCTGCATCACTACTTACAGGGCTCTGACCTCCACTAGCCCCAGAAGACTGAGAACAAATAGGTGATGGAAGAATCTCAGAACTACTAGCAGATGAAGGCAGTAAAGGGGGAAGGATCTGTCCTAATGCTGATCCTGCTTGCTGAGCTGTTTGCTCAAGAACAGCAAGTCTAGCAGGGCTACCAGAAAGAATGCCATTTAAGACAGTTTTTGGTTTTCGACCCCTCCTCTTTCCTATGTAAATGGTTCCTTTCTTGCTGACATTTATCTGTTGGCCCAATTTAGAGCCAAATGTAGCAGCAAGACTTGACACTGTATTATGGAGTTTGGATTGCACTTTCCCTTTATTACTTGGTTCTACAGAGCTTGAAAGAATCTGATTCAACAGTTTCTTTCTCTTTAAAGTCTTCATTTTATTTATTTTGCGGATAATTGTTTTCATCAATTGTCCATTGTTTCTCTTGATTTTTTTACCTGGTTCCATCTCAAGGTCATTCATACTACAGACAGTTGGCCTATGACTGTCATCTAGGTCATCCGGATCAGGAAGTTGATCCTCGCTCTCAAAGAAATCACTACTACTTCTATGGTTGTCACTTTCAGATTCTAGCTTGCTTGGACTTTCGGTGGCAACAAATGGAGCCACTGATAGTACAGGTGGCTTCATCTTGACTGGTGACCTCATTTGCCTCTTAGGTCTGCCTCTCCTTTTCGGGAAAGGAGATACAGACAGACTTTGTTTGAAGGAAGGAATTTCAATTTCTGGTTGCAAAATTGGAGGTTCTTGTTCTTCCTTAGAATGTAAAGAAAAAACTTTAGAGGCAGGGATTTTTAAAGTCCTCTTAGGTGGACCGTCCAGTTGAGGCATCTCTTTAGATTTAGGTCTTCCTCTTTTGGGCTTATAAATATCAGACAAAAGGTCACTAGAGACACACATACTGGAAGATAGCTTGTGAGTAGCAAAAGACTTATGAGATGGCTTTTCACTGTCAGTTAAGAGAGCAAGAGACGAAGTTGTAGATTTGCTCAACTTTGGCAATCGGCGTTTAAGGAAATCATGATCTACAAATGAAGATGGCCCAATGTTTTTCATAAACTTGGCTGGCTCAGAATTATTATTCGATAGTGAGCTACATGAAACATTTTTAAAAAGCTCTGATCTTTCTAATTCTAGCCCTTTTGGAGACCGGCATGTGCTTCTTGCCACCACTTTAGTCCACCGAGCTTTTCTTCCTTTCCTTTTTTTTAATGGTTTGGACTGCAAACTAGTGCTTAGGCTCTCAGCAACTTGGCAGTGTTTGTCAGAGGCAGTTACTGCACCAAGTTTTAGAAAAGGGTTGTTACTAAATAAACTAGTGAAGTTAACAACTGAAGGAGTAATTGTATGAATACTGGATTCAGAAGTTAAACTTGGCTTTTTTCCTAGAGAAGAGCTTATTCTTGGAATATCTAGATGTGTAGTTTTTGAATCATTTAGCTCTTTATCAATCCCTTTACATTCAATATTCATGCTATGACCCACAGACCTGTGACCAATGTTCAAGTGGGCACTTTCAGAAGTAAATTGGTTCTTTCCACCAGATTCAGAAATTTCTTCCATTAGTTCTGTGGTAGGACTTAAAAGTAAAGAATTAGGAGCCAAGTGTAGTGAAGTTTCAGGGGGACTTCTGGTTAAAGGATTAACAGATACAGTAGGTGATGGGGAGGGGAGAGTGCTTTCTCCTACTGCACTAAAAGGGGATTTAGCTGTAGATGCATCAGAAGCGCCTCCCATTTGAAAGTCCGGAGAAGTGCAATATACGGGAGTTTGCTTTTCATGCTTTGAGGTTTCATATGACCCCCTTTCACTGGATGAGAAACTATCTTGCTGAATGCAGGTTCCTTCATTAAACATTTCTTTCTCCAAATTAATGATTTCTTTTCGAACTGAGAACTTTTCCAATATGCTTTCTTTACTCTGTCGAATAACATTCTTCTCAAAAGTTTTGCTGTTGGCACTGTCTTTCAGGGATTCAGAAAGTTCCTGACTTTCATGACTCTTGATGTTTGTACAAGAAGCCTTAAATGACTCCTGAGTGGAGAGCAGAGCTTCAGCTTTAAGATTTAAGGCATCTTTACTGACCAGTCCTACTACAGGACAACTCACTAGTTTCTTTCCAATGTCCTTATTAACTAATCCCATTGTTGAATTTGCTACGATCTTCTTTGCACAGTCCTTGGCCACTAGGCTAACAGTAGAACCCAATTTCTTTCCCAGGTCTTTATTAACCAGTCCAACTACAGTGCCAAATCCTAACTTCTTCCCAGATTCCTTATTCACTAAACCTGGAACAATACCAATTCCTAGCTTCTTTCCTGAATCCTTGCTCAGCAGTCCTACTGTAGTGATAGTTCCTGGCTTTTTGCCTAAGTCTTTATTAATGAATACCGCTGTAGTGCCAGTTCCTAGTTTTTTCACAGAGTCCTTATTGATCAATCCTACTGTTGCATTAAACACTTGCTTTTTCCCAGGATCTTTAGTTACCAATCCAACTGCTGTGCTGATTGCTGGTTTTTTTATTAAGTCCTTATGTATTATTCCAGCTACAGAACCAACACCTGCTTTCCTGATCAAATCCTTGCTAACCAATCCTGAAATAGTAGTAGCAGTTCCTAACTTCTTCGGTTTTGTCTTGGAAGACTTGGAGGGGGGACAAGTTGCAATAAGGTGTGCCAACTTTTCTGTTACGCTCGTTCCTCCATTAAGTAATGTTTTGTTCTTTAAATCAGGATCCCGGCTACCAACAACAGTAGATGATGTTGCATTAATGTAATCTGTCATTTCTGAGTGTATTGGAGAAAGCTTCTTGGACAATGAATTGTTTTCTCCCTGTGAATGAAGATGGATACTTTCTTCAGAATGGCATTGAATGGCTGAAACATCACCTGATTTCTTGTACAACTTTGAAAGGTCCTAAAATATGAACAAGAAAAAGGTTTTAGAGAGGATAAACTTTATACCACTTCAATTCAGTATTTAGTCCAACAAACTGTGATCACATGTCAGATATAAGATAGGCACTTAATCCTTTAAAAAAAAAAAAATCTAACGAAACTAGAACAAATAATCCTGAAGTTTATAAGGAATCATAACAGAGAGCAGCCAAAAGCACTCTTGAGAAAAAGAACAAAGTTGAAGATATCATGCTCCCTGATTTCACACTAATATTACAAAGCTACAATAATAATAATATTAATAATAATAATAATAATAATAATAAAAAGTATGGTACTTGCACAAAAACAGACACATAGATCAGTGAAACAGTATAGAGCCCAGAAACAAATGCACACGTTTATGGTCAATTAATCTACATCAAAGGAGGCAAGGATATACAATGGAGAAATGACAGTCTTATCAGATGCATGTACAGATACATGGAAAAAAATGAACAGGTGATACCTTAACCTTATGTTTCATAGTTGGAAAGACTAATTTTTCCTTTCTGTATTACATAGAAATTCCTTGGTTATTTTATTTATAACATTATTGAGATACAATTCCCATACCATAAAATCACCCTTTTATAGCACAGATTCAATAGTTTTTAATATCTTCACAGAGCTGTGCAACTGTTATTAGTGTAAGTGGAGTTCATTTTGTGAATTAATTTAAAAATATTTTCTAGCTCAATAAACTGATGGTATTCAAGAATACTATAAATTTTATTTTATGTTAATTACTTTTTAATTCTTATCTGGGGATATGTTATATTGATTTTTAGAGAGAGAGGCAAGGATAGAGAGGGAGAAACATCAATGTAAGAGAGAAATATCCATCAGTTGCTTCCTGTTCTTGCCCAAATCAGGGATTGAATGAGCCACCTAGGTATGTGCCCTGACTGGGAGTCAAACCCACAGCTTTTCTGGTGTACGGTATGACACTCCATTCAACTGAGCCACTGGGCCAGGGCCTGATTTTATTTACTTTATAATATTAAATTCGTGCTCCATAAGGAATTCATTTTTTCAGGAAATAGGTATCAAGTACCTACAATTTAAATGCAAAGAATAACAGTAGTAAAAAAAAATCCTTTCACCGTGGAGGTTTCATTCTAATGCATGAGAGGGGTAGAGGCAATAAAAGGTAAGATGTACTATAAAGAAAATCAGAGCATAAAAACAGAAGAGGAAAAGACTAAGGTTGGTCCTAGCCAGTTTGGCTCAGTGGATAGAGAGAGCGTTGGCCAGCGAACTGAAAGGTCCCAGGTTCAATTGCAGTCAAGGGCACAAGGGTGTTCCAGGCTCGATCCCCAGTAGGGAGCATGCAGGAGGCAGTCAATCTATGATTCTCTATGATCATTGATGTTTCTCTCTCTCTCCCTTCCTCTCTGAAATCAATAAAATATATATACATTGGGGGGTGGAGGGGAAGCCCTGGCTGATTTGGCTCAGTGGAGAGAGCATCAGCCTGTGGACTGAGGGTCCCAAGTTCAATTCTGGTCAAGAGCATATGCCTGATTGATCCCAAGCATGGGGCATGCAGGAGGCAGCCCATCAATGATTCTCTTATTGAAGTTTCCATCTCTCTCTCCCTCTCTGAAATCAATAAAAATTTAAAAATAAATAAAAATAAATAAAAAAGCATACTCAGGATCCAAGATGGCTGCGCCCAGGTGAACAACTAGCTGCAGCCGCACACAACAATTTCAATAAAATACAACTAAAATATAAAACGGACATTGCCCAGAACTACAGGAAGGTTGACTGACTGGAAATTCTACAGTGAGAAGCAAGGAGAAAACCAGAAGGAGGCGCGGAGGAGCTGGAAAAGCCCAAGGTACGGAGACGCGGCTCGCGGAGAGGACGGAGCCGGAGAGGAGGGAGCCCGAGTGCCTGGCAGGCGTTCCCTAGCGGAAAGGAGACAAAACTCCGACTGTGCTGGGCCCCCGACTGCTCTGAACCCCAGTTCTAGGCCAGACCCCGGGGACCCAGGCCCAGCCATAGGGAGCCGGGCTGTAAGGCAGAACCCCCGGGAGAGGCAAAAGGAGGTCCCGGAGGCGCGCACACTGCGCGCAGAGAAGGGACGGTCAGCTGTGCCGCGGGATTGCCCTGACAGGAAGGAGACAGGGGCTCCAGACTGCTCTGAACGCCACCTCCAACTCCACTTCCAATTGAACTGAACCCCAATACCGGGCTCATTGTGGGAGAGCATAGACTGTTTGGCAGCCGGTGAAAATTGAGGGCACCTTTCTCTCAGAGGTGCCGGCAGCGAGCACTGAAGGACCCGCATAGGGCGGGGCTGACGGAAGCCAAAGCTGCAGGCTCCACCCTGAAACCCCGTCCCATCTGTAACTGCGAAATGCGACAACAAAATAGATCACAAACGAAAGAAATGGAGGACAAAAAGCGTCTGGATATAGAGTTCAAATCTACACTTATAAGGTTTTTCAAGAATTTCCTAGAAAAGATGGATAAGGCCTATGAGGATATGAAAAGAGATCAACTAGAATTAATAAGGAGTCAACAAGAAATGATAAGGGATCAACAAGAAATAAAGAATACATTGTCTGAAATAAAAAATATTTTACAGAGTCCTAAAAACAGAAGGGAAGATCGTAAGAATCAAGTCAAAGATTTGGAACATAAAGAGCCAGAAGACACTCCTCCACAGAAGCTAGAAGGCAAGAGAATCCAGAAAATTGAAGATAATGTAAGAAACCTCTGGGACAACTTCAAGCGAACCAACATCAGAATTATGGGGGTCCCAGAAGATGAGAGAGAGCAAGATATCGAAAACATACTGAAAGAAATAGTGACAGAAAACTTCCCCCACCTGGGGAAAGAATTAGACTTACAAGTCCAGGAAGTGCACAGAACTCCAAACAAAAGGAATCCAAAGAGGACCACACCGAGACACATCATTATTAAAATTCCAAGAGCAAAAGACAAAGAGAGAATATTAAAAGAAGCAAGAGCAAAGAAGGTAGTAACCTATAAAGGAGCATCTATACGATTGTCAGCTGACTTCTCAACAGAAACCATGCAGGCCAGAAGGGAATGGCAAGAAATATTCAAGGTGATGAATAGCAAGAACCTACAGCCAAAAATAATCTACCCAGCAAAGCTATCACTCAGAATCGAAGGCCAGATAAAGAGCTTCACTAATAAAAAAAAGCTAAAGGAGTTCATCACCACCAAACCAGAATTATATGAATTGCTGAGGGGGGTTCTTTCAGAAGAGAAAGTAAACAAAGATAAAAATTATGAACAACAAATACGTAACTATCAACAAGTGAATCTAATAACCAAGGAAATTAAAAAAATCTGATGAACAATATTAACTGTTGAATATAATAGAATCAGAGGTATGGAAGGGGAGTGAACTGACGATTCTTGGGGGAAAGGGGAGAGGGGGGCGTGGGAAGAGACTGAACATAACTGTGCACCTATGGATGAGGACAATGGGGAGAGGGGAAAGGGCAGAGGGTGGGGTGGGAACCTGGTGGAGGAGAGCATTGGTGGGGGGGGAAAAGGGAACATTTGTAATAATATGAACAATAAAAACTTATTAAAAAAAAAAAAAAAAAAAAAAGCATACTCAGTGAGCACAAAAGTCCCACTGAAGCAAGTTCTGTCTCCTACACAGCAGCTCTTCCACTGTAGTTGCAGCTGGTCCTCACAGACAATTGGCCTGGAAGTCAATTCCTCCGAGTGACACCAACAGCAATAAAGGCTCAACTACAACAAGACCATGCACACAGCCCACACAGGGGCACACCTAGAGTGCCCAGCTCAGATGACTAGGGAGGCTGAGCCACTGTGCTTTACAGGGCACCTACCATGTTTCTTCGAAAATAAGACATCCTCTGAAAATAAGACCTACTTACAGGTTTCCTTCTGAGTGAAATATAAGGCATCCCCCAAAAAATAAGGCCCTCCTAGGCTAAACATGAGAGATTTGGTCCACTGATTCCGAAAGAAATGGAGTCACAAGAAATTCACCAGGAAATTCAGGAACTGGATTGTTATGATGATGTTCCAGAAGATGATGACATGATTGTCGTTGAATAAATGAGTAAATTCTTGATACTGTAGGATTCACAGTTTGTCTGGTTTGTGTTGACAACTACCGTACTACCGTACTGTATACAGGTAATAAATTTTCTTTATTTTCACTTAACAATAAATGTGTACCGTATTCTTCTTCAGAGAAAAATAAGACATCCCCTGAAAATAAGACCTAACGCATCTTTGGGAGCAAAAATTAATGTAAGACTCTGTCTTATTTTCGGGGAAACGGTACTATACAAGGCCACTCTACCAACTCTAGGAGACATAGCACTTCTACCTAGTACGCAGAAGCAAACACAGGGAAGCAGTCAAAATGCAGAAACAAAGAAACATGTCACAAATGAATGAAATGTAATTAAGCAAACAACTTGATACAGAGTTCAAAACCACAGTCATAGGGCTACTCAAGGATCTTCATGAGACTTTCAAGGATCTTAGAATGTCAGACACAAAAAAAGACCAGTAAGAAATTAAGCATACACTAACCAAAATAAAGAATAATTTACAGGGATTCAACTGTAGAGGATTCTGAGAATCAAAATCAATGATTTGTAATATGAGGAAGCAAAAAACATCCAGTCAGATAGTCAACAACTACAACAAAAAAACAGTGTGCACTGTCAGTTTGGCTCAGTGGTGGTGCATGTACCTAGGAACCAAGTTATCATTGGTTCCATATCAGGTCTAGACACATGCCCAGGTTGGCGGCTCCATTCTAGGAGGGGGAATGCAGGAGGCAGATGGTCAATGATTCTTTCTCATCATTGATGTTTCTCCCTCTCCCTTTCTCTCTAAAAATTAAATAAAATATTAAAAAAAAAAGAAAAAAGACACACAAAAACATCCAGTCAGAAGAGCAAAAAGAAAAAAAGAATCCAAAAATATGAAGATAGTGTAAGGAGCCTCTGGGACAACTTCAAGTATATCAACTTTTGCATTATGGGGATGCCAGAAGAAGAGAGTGAACAAGATATTGAAAACCAACTTGTGGTGTAGGCTTGGGCTGGGGGATGGAGGCAGGCTGGAGGGGGTCAATGGGAAAAAAATGAGGGGCATAGGTAATACTCTGAACAGTAAAAAATTATTTAAAAAAAAAAAAAACAATGGAAAAATATCCTTAGGTGAGGATTAACAAACAAAAAGAATAAAGAAAAAGAAAAGAAAACCTACTTGAAGAAATGACAGAAAACTTCCCCTACCTAATGAATGAAAGAATACACTTATAAGTCCAGGAAGCCCAGAGAGCCCCAAACAAGAGGAACCATAAGAGGCCCACACCAAAACACATAATTAAAATGCCAAAGGTTAAAGACAAAGAGAGAATCTTAAAAGCAGTAAGAGAAAAGCAATTAGTTACCTACAAAGGAGCACCCATAAGACAGTTACCTGATTTTTCAACAGAAACTTTGAAGGGAGTGGCAAGAAAAAGTCAAAGTGATAAAAAGCAAGGACTTACAACCAAGATTTACTCTACCTAACAAAGCTATCATTTAGAATTGAATATCAGATAAAAAAGCTTCACAGACAAGACAATGCTAAAGGAAACATTCACCACCAAAGCAGTATTACATAAAACATTGAAGGCCATTCTTCAAGAAGAGGAAGAAGCAGAAGAGGGGGAAAATATTAAAAATAAAATAGTAATAAATGCATACCTATCAATAATTCAATCTAAAAACCAAAATAAACAAACAAGGAATCTAATGAACAAAATAAACTGATGAATAAAATAGAACCAGAGACATGGAAACATAGAATGGACTAATCTCAGAGAGAAGGGGAAAGAGATTAACCAAAGAACTTATATGCATAGTAGAGGCCGATGCTTGAAGATTCGTGCAAGAATGGGCCTTCCTTCCCCTGGCTGCCAGCACACTGCCTTTGTTCTGGTCAGAGCCAGCGCCGCCATCCCACACTGCCCAGAGGCCCGGAATGGCTGGCACAGTGTGGAATGCCTGTGTCACCCCGGCTGCTAGGCACCTGCGTATGCAAATTAACACATCATCTTTGTTGGTTAATTTGCATATTTACTTCTGATTGGCTGGTGGGTGTCGCAAACGTACAGTCAATTTGCATCTTACTCTTTTATTAGTATAGATATGCAATACCTATGGACACAGAAAATAGAATGGTGAAGGCTGGGGTGGGGTGGCAACTGGATGAATGGGGTAATAGGAAGGGGGGAAATATCTGTGATATTCTCAACAATAATTTTTTTAAAAATGTAGAACTATGTACCCAGTGAATTTGACTCACTCAGTGATGTTAGACAGGAAACAACTTCTCTTTCATCATTTATCTAACCATGTCTCCCTATTAATGAGGTTTCATAAAAGCTCAAGGTTTTGATATCTCATCATATAGGGCCTTTAATTCTGATGTCTCTGCAAAAGTCTTCATTCATTTCTATGTAGCTATATCTCAGAATTAAAATTAATTATCAATATGCATTGCCAGTGCAACAAGACAATTTTTATTTTAAATATTTTATTGATTTTAGAGAAGAAGGGAGAGGTAGGAAGAGAGAAACATCAATGATGAGAGAGAATAATTGATCAGCTGCCTCCTGCACACCCCGCACTGGGGATCAAGCCTGCAACCCAGGCATGTGCCCTTGGCCAAAATCTAACCTGGGAACCTTCAGTCCACAGGCAGACACTCTATCCATTGAGCCAAACCAGCTAGAGCACAAGGAGACAATTTTTAATATACTAACTTGTCTTATGAGGAACAAGAGTTAATCCTATCTAATAAAAAGGGAATATGCTAATTGACTGACCCGCCCTCAAATATGGTGGTGCCCACAGCCACAAGATGGTGGCACCCAGTCCCCTCAGCCCCGCCAGGGCAGCAGGTGCCCGCATCAGCTTTGCATGCCTGCCTCTGGAGTCCCCGAGTCCCCTCAGCCCCCCAACCGCCCAGGGCCACCAGAGGCTCAGGTAACCAGGGCTGGCCAAGGCTTGCAGTGCCGGCAATGGCGGCAGCAGAGGTGTGATGATGGGGTGTTATCTTCCCCTGAACGCCCAGGTCGCCTCTCACCCCTGAGAGCTCCAGGACTGTGAAAGGGGGTAGCCCAGGCTGAGAGACCCCCCTCCAGTGCATGAAATTTTCACACATCAGACCTCTAGTATTTGTGTAATTCATTTAACTAAAGCTCTCAACAAATACAGTATTAGTGAACTGGATTCTTACAATCATCCTAAAAGATAGGTAGTATTATAATCACTTAAGAACTTTGAGGCAGTTTCTTCTCCGTTGATTTGTCTATAGTGACACTGTTGGTAAGCAGGAACCTAAGATTAAAATCTAGGCTTCCTAAACATGTCCAGTATTCTTTCCACTATGCCACTAGAAGCAAGAATCTGGATATACTCCATTTAAAATACTTGCCATGATTTTACAAATACAAATACAAATACATAGATACTCACATTTTCTGACAAGTGACAAAGCCTATAAGACAGACTATTTTGAAATAATTTACAAAGATTAAAATCAAACTTCTTAGGAAGTGTATACAGCTTAGATAAATATTAATCGATAAATCCAAATATTGTCACCACATATTGTTGAGAATTCTACTTACTCGTTTTGAAGGACAGTGTTCATTCTTTTCATCTGTCATCTTCCCACTTTTAAGTGCTTTCCTTGGGTGCTTGATAGTTGTTTTTATGGCAGGTCGACATACATAGTTCTCCAAGTTCTTTGGAGGTTTTTTAGTTCTCTTAGCCTGAAGGCCAATTTTCAATTTTAAGTTTCCCTCTGAAAAGTTTGTTTCTTTCACTGAAAACTGTTGCTGTGCATCAGTCAAATCATCATCTTTCCCTGATTCAATGTTTCTTTCTCGATTCCATTTGCGAAGTCCCTCTTCCTCCTTTGCGTTGTTTTCTAGCTCTGCTTCTCTATTGCTGACCAGTGTTCCGGTATTGATGGCAGAGGGACTCTTTCTTGAAAATCCTTCGGAATCAGAACCCAATCCTAACATAGCAGTATTTCTAAGGTCCATCACCAAGTGTATGTTATTGCCAAGGAATCCTATGAACAGTTTACAGAATTGTGTTCCATAAAAAACAGGAAACTCCAAAACTTGCAACCAGCATCTCTTTTTCTGCAGGACAGACCATAACAAAAATTTATCAGAGTAGAAGTAACGTGAGAAATGAATATTGGGGGGGAAGAGGGGATCAAGTTAGAAGATCACAGAATCACAGTTGAAACAAATAAAAATGTAGTTCAAATGAATTTAAATTCATTTAGTTATGATTAGATTTAAAATTTCAGAATAAGTTTATAATTCTACAGATATCATAAACAAGCTGAGTGGCATAGTGCAAATCAATGTTTAAGAACCACTGTTATAACGCAACCAAAAACCTTCTATAAAAACAAACAAGTTGAAAATAATTTCATGTATTTTTCACTCCTCAGTTTCAAGGACTATATTTCTACATTTTAATTGAATAAAATCAATTTCAATAAGGGTAAAAGAATCATTTTTGGCTGGTTCCAGTGCTCCAACCTTTTTTTATAAGGAGTTATCAGGCTTTTTACATTAGAACTCAGGCTAAAATTATCTCTGTTGTACAATTCAACTCTGGATTCATTCAAAAATATTTCTGAGCATCTATCATGTACAATACCCTATCATGTACAGTATTCAACAAAACAGATCCAGTCCTAAACTTACAAGCCTTATACTTTAATAAGAAAGACAAAAGTTAAACAACTGATCACACAAATACTTTATAACAATTGTTATAAAAACTTTAAAAACCAGAAATTTATTTTTACAGGTTTTTCTAATAGCAAATGGTAGTCAATTGGCATGCTTTAATTCCCCAAATTCATAAAATATTTTTAAACCAGCATGCCAATTTATTTTAAAATAGGTGAGTGGTACACCCTAGTTGAAAATTTGAATAATCTATACGGGGCAAGCCCCTTCTCAAAAGTACAGATCCTTGCTGGAATCGGTTTGGCTCAGTGGATAGAGCATCGGCCTGCAGACTGAAAGGTCCCAGGTTCAATTCCGGTCAAGAGCATATAGATTAGGTTATTTCATTTCTACTGTGGTGTTTAGAGTATCATGCCTTAATAAACACCTTAATATTCCACCATGAAATGTATGACTAATCACAGACATTGTGGTAATTAATACAAAAATGAATGTAGATCAGGTCATAGCAGGTTTTGTTATTAGTGAATTATGCAAATACTTTAAATTTTAGACTTTCGAATTCCTCGGTTGCAGGCACATCCCCGGCAGGGTGTGCAGGAGATAGTTGGTCGATGTTTCTCTATCATCAATGTTTTTAGCTCTCTATCCCTCTCCCTTTTTCTCTGTAAAAAAAATCAATAAAATATATATTTTAAAAACAAGTACAGATCCTCAAGAAACTAGATTATCATATTATAATCAGGAGGCTGACAAGTAAATATAAAACCGAAACAATCCACTTCACTATTCTTAAGGTTTGATAGGCTAGTCTTCATTTCAAGCATATGTCCGAAACAAGATCCAGCACTACTAACTGGAAAAAGAATATCCTATCCCTTAGAAAGTTCCATTTATGAAGTGGAATACTTCATAGTTTAAACTATGTGCCTTAAGACATTTTCCCCCCAACAAGATAATAAGATTTTTAAGGCCAAAGACCATATGATAGAATTTGTAACTCTTGTAAGGAATTTAGGTAAAGTGTATAGCCCAAGTGATTGGCACATAAAAGGTATCAACAATTTATTCTTTTTTTTTTTTTAATATCTGCTGGTTTTTGTTTTTTTAATATATTTTATTGATTTTGTACAGAGAGGAAGAGAGAGAGATAGTTAGAAACATCGATGAGAGAGAGTCATCGATCAGTTGCCTCTTGCACACCCCCTACTGGGGATATGCCCGCAACCAAGGTACATGCCCTTGACCGGAATCGAACCCGGGTCCCTTCAGTCCCCAAGCCGACGCTCTATCCATTGAGCTAAACCGGTCCCGGCAACAATTTATTCTTATTACAGTACTATCAATACTAGTAGGAGCAGCAGCTTTTTAAGTAGTTACTCAACAAATATTGGCCAAAATGACTAAAACTTTTACTTTGTTCCCACTCTATTCATTCACACAAACAGCTGAAAGAGTAATCTTCCAATCAGTTCATTCTGACAATTCTTTGTTGTTTTTAATAGCACTCAAGGCTTTACATATTTGGTTCTAACTATTCAAACTTGTTTATCCTTACTTCTCAACACACAATCTCTGTTTTAGTCAATTCCGTTTGCTTTACTGTCCCTAACAAATCATGTTCATTTCTGTTTCTGTGCCATGTGTTTTCTTTCCCTTTAAATGTAGCAAATCCTATCTCCATGACGGGTGCACAATCCTGAAATTCGAAAGTCTAAAATTTAAAGTATTTGCATAATTCACTAATAACAAAACCTGCTATGACCTGATCTACATTCATTTTTGTATTAATTACCACAATGTCTGTGATTAGTCATACATTTCGTGGTGAAATATTAAGGAATGATACTCTAAACACCACAGTAGAAATGAAATAACCTAATCTTATCTAATAGAAGAGTAATATGTAAATTTGTCATACATCCGCTACACCACAAGTCACACCCACCAGCCAATCAGAGCAAGTATGTAAATTAAACCCAACCAAGATGGCTGCAGACACAGAGAACAGGAGGGAGGCTTGGGTTTCTCTGGCAACGGAGGAAGCCAAGCTTTCTACACACCCTGGTGGGCCCAGGTCTCCCCTCCAGGATACAAAGTTTCAATTAAAGGTAAATAAATTCCAACAGAAATGGCTGCTGCCAAGGAGCAAGCAGGAAGCTTGGCTTCCATCCAGGCTACAAAGTCTCAATTGTAAAAGGTAAATAAATTCCAGATACCAGGGCCTCCACTTGGGTTGCCAGGGAGGGCATGGCTGGCCTGCAAACCACCACAGGCCCCTCGCCCAGGCTGCCCCACACCCCAAGGGAACACCCACCCTGATCTGGGTCACCCTTTAGGGCAAACCAGCTGACCCCACACGTGCATCAGGCCTCTATCCTGTCTAATAAGAGTAATATGCAGATTGACCATCATTCCAACACACAGCATGGCTAACCCCATGTGGTCAAAGATCCTGGCCTCCTGTGGACAAAAAATGGCCACCACAAGATGGCCAGCAGGGGAGGGCATGTTAATACCCAATAGGGCATTTGGGAGGGTCCAGGCCTGCAAGGGAAGGCAGTTGGGGGTGATCAATCCCGGCAATGGAGGGCAGTTAGGGGTGACCAGGCCGACAGAGGAGGGAAGTTGGGGGCAATCAGGCTGGCAGGGGAGCAGTAGATATCAGGCTGGCTGGCATGTGAGTGGTTAGGGGGTGATGAGGCTGGCAGGCAGAAGCGGTTAGGGGCAATCAGGAAGGAAGGCAGGCAGGCAGGCAGGCGAGCAGTTGGATCCAGCAGTCCTGGATTGTGAGAGGGATGTCCAGTGGAATCGGGCCTAAACGGGCAGTCGGACATCCCTCAAGGGGTCCCAGATGGGAGAGGGTGCAGGCTGGGCTGAGGTGTCTCCATCGCACCCCCCCTACCCCGTGCATGAATTTCATGCATCAGGCCTCTAGTCTATATTATCTTTTTAAAAGCATTAAAAAAAAAACCAAAGAACTTTTGGATAATGAATTTCTGACCTATGTTCTCAGATCTATATGGAAGTTCTGCACTAGGTCTTGACAGGGGACCTCAAGCCTTAATACCTATTATCCATATTGGATCACAATCTGGGTAATTTTTTTAATTCTTGTTCCACATTTATCAGCTGCTTTCCCAAATAGACTATAATTAAAATGTAAGACCGGCTGGGCCAGCATAGCTCAGTGGTTGAGCATTGACCCATTAATCAGGTGGTTACAGTTTGATTCCCGATCAGGGTACCATGCCCTGGTTGCGGCTCGATCCCCCAGTATAGGGCCTGCAGGAGGCAATCGATCAATGATTCTCTCTCATCACTGATGTTTCTCTCTCTCTCTCCCTCTCCCTTCCTCTCTGAAGTCAATTTACAAAAAAAATTTTTTTTTTAAATGTAAGCTTGAGCCCTAACCAGTTTGGCTCAGTGAATAGAGCATCGGCCTACGGATTGAAAGGTCCCAGGTTTGATTCTGGTCAGGGGCATGTACCTTGGTTGCAGACACATACCCGATGGGAGGTGTGCAGGGAGGTATGCAGCTGATTGAGGTTTCTAACTTTCTACCCCTCTCCCTTCCTCAGTAAAAAAATCAATAAAAAATATATCTTTAAAATGTAAGCTTGCCAAAACTGGTTTGGCTCAGTGGATAGTGTCGGTCTGTGGACTGAAGGGTCCTAGGTTCAATTCTGGTCAAGGACATGTACATTGGTTGCGGGCACATCCCCGGTAGGGGGTGTGCAGGAGGCAGCTGGTCAATGTTTCTCTCTCTCATCAATGTTTCTAGCTCGCTATTTCTCTCCTTCCTCTCTGTAAAAAATTAGTAAAAAATTGTGCACTGGATCACTAGTTTATATATAATGATAGGAAGGAAAACAGGTACAGGCAGGTATGTACAATACAGTGGGAGCTTTTTGTACCCACATCAACCTTACATTTTAAAAATGTAAGGTTGATGTGGGTAGAAATGTAAGGTTGATGTGGGTAGGAAACTCTTCTGGCTTGTTCATTACATCGCTAGCACCTGGAACAATGAATATCATGTTAATATCCAATAGGTAGTAGAAGGAAGAAAGGAAGGAATTTTAAGGCCCCTATAGTTTCTAATATGTTTGGTATGTAGAAAATGTTTCTCCTTTTTGTTTGTTTTTACCATGATTTCATCTTGTTATGAGAAATCTGTTTTTAATTATATCTTAACTATATTTCATACAAATGGTTTTCTGTAAACTTACTAAAATATCTTATACTGTAGTAGTAATAGCTTTCAAATCATATCTTAATACCTCTTCTGGTTCTGTGCCATCAAAATGAGTCTAAGAAAAACAATGTTCACTAATCTCACTTTATATTCCTAACCACTAATCTCAAGTGGCTCTTAGAGTTGTAACACATTCCCATAATCTATTCACTCCACCACCACTCTCCTAGAAGTT